CTGACCTGAATCCTATTGAGATGCTGTAGCATGACCTTAAGAAGGAGGTTCATGCTCGAAAACCTTCCAATGTGGCTGAATTACAACAATTCTGCAAAGATGAGTGGACCAAAATTCCTGCACAGCGCTGTAACAGACTCATTGCAAGTTATCGCAAACGCTTGATTGCTGTTCTTGCTGCTAAGGGTTGCTCCACCAGCTATTAGGTTTAGGGGGCAAACTATTTTTCACACAGCACCATGTGGGTCTGGATTTTGTTTTCCCTTAATAATAAAAACCTTCCTTTAAAAACTGCATGTTGTGTTATCTTTGACTAATATTTAAATTTGTTTGATGATCTGAAACATTAAACTGTGACAAACGTGCAAAACAATTAACAATCAGCAAGGGGGCCAACACTTTTTCACACAACTGTATGTGTTTAAATTTTGCCCATGATAACACTTTAAATCTGCTAAATGCACTTATTCCTGGGACCCTGGAACTACTGGTACGCACATACATACATACATACATACATACATACATACCCTGTCATGCCTGAATCTATCAAACAAATGAAGGCTCCATGAGGTGTCTGCTTTTCAAGGTAGGCGTGAAACTTAACTCAAGGAAAATATTTGACCTCACTTGCCAACGCAGTTTAATTCTGTATAAACAGTCTTTTGATCCGATAAATTGCAGTAGCAGCCTACATTTCTGTAAAGGTTTCCATGAATAGTTTATTAGAACAGTTTAGATGATGGTGTTTTGCATCTGATTGGAGCTTATCTTTAAACAGGTTAAACAATGTCTACTTGACAGATTTGCTTCAGCCAAGAACTCATTTATCACACCCAATGTTTCTATTTCCCCATATTTTTTTTTTTTTCAAATTCTTTATTTATAGGCAAAAAGGGTGGGGTACATTGCAAGGGAGCACACGCGAAGGCCACATGGTCTCACAAAATGTTAAAACAACAGACAGTGAGACTTATAATACAAACATGGTAACAGATTGTAATATCAGGTCTGGTAACCACATTTGTCACCGCCCTTAAGGCATTTTTTTAGGTGAATCAACGTAAAACCAACACTAATGTCGAGGTGAGTGGTCAGGCCTAGCCCCACAAAATGGGCGGCCAAGCCCCCCACGATCACCCCCATTCCCCATATATTTTTAAAAGTAACAAGCATATTTGTTTTCAACAATTTATTAATAAAAAGTTCATACACACAAACAATCATTAATAAAACAGTCTAAGAGAACAATTCCTGCTATATAGTGCGAAATACATCAAATTCAAAACAGCAGGAGTAGACCTTATTTCATAGCACAATTGCTAAGAGACCATAATTAAAAATAAATAAATAGGTGACTGCTTATTTAGGACTTCAAATTTGATAAATGCATACACCACAGCAACCCAAGACAATATTTTAGAAATAAACTGAAATGGTTTTGTTTACTTGCAAACACAGTATTCTATATTAAAGTGACACTAAACTCAAGAGTTAAATATTAAAAAATGCTTTTTAAGTACCCTAACTATTAACAAAACTGTAATTAATTTGTGTATCACTTGGCTGTATTGGCAGTCAGTAAACTAGCATTTATAGAAGGATAAATTGCAGTAGCAGCCTACATATTTCTGTAAAGGTTTCCATGAATAGTTTAATATAACAGTTTAGATGATAGTGTTTTTACATCTGACTGGAGATTATCTTTAAACAGGTTAAACAAAGTTTACTTGACAGATTTGCTTCAGCCAAGAACTAGAAGTATATGTGGTGCATTATAAGTGTGTATACACACTTTTATTTTGCATGGAGTTTTTATATTATGACAATGTAATGGGAGACCCCTTTACCATTATCATTGCTCATTTATCACACCCAATGTTTGTATGTCCCCATATATTTTTAAAAATAACAAGCATATTTGTTTTCAACAATTTATTAACAAAAAGTTCATACACACAATCATTAATAAAACAGTCTAAGAGAACAATTCCCCCTATAAAGTGCAAAATACATAAGATTCATTACAGCTGGAGTAGACCTTATTTCATAGCACAATTGCTAGAGACCATAATAAAATAAAAAAAAATTAGGACGATAAAAAAAAAAGAAAATAAATCAAATAAATAGGTGACTGCTGATATACGATTTCAAATAATAACCAACACATTTGACAAAAGCATACGCCACAGCAACCAAGAGAATATTTTAGCAATAAACTGAAATGGTTTTGTCTACTTGCAAACACAGGTTTCTATATTAAAGTGACACTAAACTCAATAGTTAGGGTACTTGAATGCATTTTTAAGATTTAACTCTTAACAAAACTGTAATTCATTTGTGTATCACTCGGCTGTAGATCCTCAAATCTCTGAATTCATGCTGACACTATCCTTCCTTCTGGAGGGGGGCTACTTTTCTTCCCCATGGTCCCTGTGTGTGTTGTAAAGTAGCCACCGCTCCAGGCTCGCTCCTGTGAAAGACTACAATCTCACATTTAGTTTACTAATTTGTATTGACATACAAATGACATTATAGTCTATGATGGGAGCGAGCTTGGAGCGGTGGCTACTTTACAGCACACACAAAAAGAAAAAAAAACACCTTCCAGAAGGAAGGACAATGTCAGCACAAATTCATAGATGATTTGAAAATCTACAGCTGTGTGATGCACAAATGAGTTACATCTGTGTTAATAGTTAAGGTACTTGAATGCTTTTTTAAGATTTAACTTCGGAGTTTAGTGTAATTTTAAGGCTGTATAAAGTAATGTGAGCGCCAAAAACAAGCACACTATTTCTAAATATGCATTTCCTGATATTCTGTTGCATAAAAACTACACAGAGTAAAGTGAGGTCTGCTGTGTGGTCGTTTAAAATGAATATATCATTGCCATTGGTTCTCTTTTTAGGAGAGCCAAATACAAGAAAAGCAGTGTGCCTGCATCTGCATTAAGCACCCCTGTGTACTTAACCTTGAACATGTTTTACTTTACAACATTGTCTGCACTACAAACATGGAGTCTGACTGTGAGGGTATGAGCAATACAAAGGTATAATACAATTATAGCTGCAACCTGTTTGGGTCTTTGGATAGGGACTTATAAATAAATACTAGTAGCACTCACAAATTCAGAATTTTGCATACATCTTATATATGTTTAAAATGTACTGTATTTTCTCATGGAACAATCGGAATATTCTTTTCTTGACTGGCAAAAACATATTCAAACCATTATAACAAGCTAGACTACACCTGAGCTACTATGTCTTCCTTTATGGAAAAGTACAAAGCCTAGCGTGTCCTGTTGAGCAACCAGGCAGCACAGAACTGTAGCTAGAATTGTGCACTAGTGCCTGAAAGACAATAAAACCAATTTAGGTTGTCGTCAACATTTAAACAGAACAGTTCATTAGTTAGAACAGCATATTTGATTACATATAACATTTTGTGCAGTATAGCTTTAACTTAAAATAATTTAACAATTCAAATAACAAAAAAAACCCTCAAACAATATGCAACTGATTAAATTAAAATACAAATAATAACAAATAAATATTAAATAAAATAAATAAATCACAACAAACATAATACTGTTGGTCTCGGTCTCATTTGTTTCTGCCTTTTTCTTCCACATGAATAATTATTTCAAAGCATCACATGCTATTTGGTGTAGTAAAGCACCCATCATGTAGCCGCCATTGTTTCTATTAAAAGTGCTTTGTAAAGGATGCCTTGTAAAAAACCAGGGTTCTAACACAAGACCATCTTAAATGTATATCTCTATCAGGCCTAAATTACAAAGTGGCATCAGTCTTTTGCACCTAGCTGGCCAGTTAGCTAAAGACCCTGAAGCTGCCATTATTGTTCAGTGTTCACTAGTATAAGCCCAACTCTTTCTTTGAGCCCACCACAGCATCACTCGCTGGAGATGTAGTACTGCTCAGAAGCATCTTAGATGTTTGCCAGGTCTGGCTTCATTGCATTTGCTAAAATTCAGAATGGCACACTGAGTGGAATGCAAACTTTTGGACAGTTGAAACTCTACTTATATATTATGTACAGTTCACCAATAATTGTACTAGTAGATTAGGGCTGGTCTTTAATGTGCACCTGTCATAAGAGTTACACAGCTGACATTGCTGGCCACGTTCTGAGAATGGTAGTTTCCTGTTTTATTTAACTCTGAGTCATGGACGCAGAGCAAGCATGCATCAAATGCATGTTAAAAAAAAAAGAATTCCCTATCGCTATACATATTCAGAGTTGAATACTTAAAGTATTGAAACCATTGAATCAGAATTAAAGCCAGGCAACAAGCGTTTCAACAAGGAGATCAGCACTAAGATCCTATGTGTAACAGGCTTCTATTACTGGGGCCGCTGAAGTGTATTTGAAAATGTCCATAATTATGTAAGCATTGTAGAGTCAATTTAAATTCTTAAAGGGTTTATTCTGTCAAGACATAAAGCACACTGGCAGAATAACCGTGTAAGAAAAACACGTCTTCAGTGTTTACATAGATCCCCTTTGCTATCAATCTTCAGGGCTTGTGTCCAGGTGGTCAGATGACATAAGGCGTCAGAACAAACGAAAGCCAATAGAGTATGAGGAGACAGTTACAGCTTTTTTTTATCTCAGTTTATAGTGTCCCTGCATCTAAGACTTTCACATACCTAAATGGATTACCTTTAATTACATGGTAAATATACTTTCAAGTTTATCGCAGATCAATCGCAGATCAATTCTCTTATACTGAACACCATTAGTTCAGATGCTTCTGGGACTTTGCATAAAAAGTGAATCATGCCTTAATACTTAAGTGGTTGGAAAATTGTGACTAACACAGAAGTAGCAAACCCCCCTTTTGAGTAAATTGAGAAGTTTGCACAGAAATTATAAAAGCCTTTGGGCTAATGAAAGATTTTAAACAGTAGCCCAAACCTGTCCAGTCATACAAAGTATGAATCAGTAATGAGGTACAGTAATACTCAATGAAGTTATAAGTCAAAGTCTAGAACGTCTGTGGGGGTGCTGGCCCGTTCAATTTCCTCCACAGCCTTGGAGACTGGTACTTGGTTTCTTTCAGCTTCCTGGAGGTTGGATTGTAGGGATGCTTCAATCTGTTCTTGACACATTCTCAGGATATTCTGCGATCAAAGATAAAAAAAAAAGTTACAAATATGATCAACGTTGCCTGCTCTTGGTACCTTATTCAAACCTGTGAAAACACCAATCACTTCCCCACATGACATAAATACATTGAATATAGTAGTGTTCTGCTTAAATAAATATTTTCCTCTTGGGACCCTTCATAAGGCAGTACAGTGGGTTCCACCCTCTTGATGAATCAGGAATAGGTAATCAATGACTGCCCACTCTCACCCACTATCTGGTGACTGCACTTTCACTCTACCCCTGCTTCCTCATAGGCAACGTTAACATGATCACTCTGCAGAATTAGCAGGTTAGAACACCTTGCAAAGCAAACACACAGTCAAAGCGGATTAGTGTGCCTTTGGCCCCCCCATACTGTAAAGGTACTGTTTACATTGCACAGCCTGTCCTAAAGATTGTGCAAGATTATATGATTATATGAAAAGGCTACAGTGTAACAGATGGTAATAGAAGTGAGCGAGGTTAGCGGATGAGACAGAATGTGCAACTTAAATACAAGTTGCTCTCCCTGTATTTAAGAATTCTACATTTGATTACCATTGTTTGGAATCAGGAAGTTCTTGTATGAGAGACCTATGTTTGTTAAAATGTACCTGTGCCCAGGCTATGGACAAAGTCTATTGACTATGAACATTAAAGCTATCCCTGACTTCTCTAGCTGCATGTAGTGTAAAATAATTAATTCTCACATAGCCTCAAAGATCACAACAGAGACTCTAAGGTCTGCTTTCAGCCAGTTTATAAGGGCCCTTTCATCCAAATGTGTAGTAATGCACATTACGTAAGTTGGTGTGCTGTGGTGGCATGTGCTGTGACACAATGTACACAGCACCTATTTTTTATGGGTTGAGGTGCTTTGTAGCCCATTCATTTTGACTCTGCTTCTTTCGAAAGTAATGGGAAAAGAAGGTTTCAGCGACTCTGTTGTGAACTTAGGATGAATTTCCCCTTAATATCTTTACCTGAAGAAGTAAGCGAGGGCTTGTTTCAAGTGCTTTTACTGTTTGTTCAGAATATGTAAATACAAATCAGACAATGCAAGATACCTTTACGTACAAGTCTCCTCCTACACCCCCCCTGTTGTGTATTAATGTAATGCTTTAAAAGCCAGTAGAGGTACCAGTATGTTTACATCACATGGCAGAAGGTCTCTGTCTGGGAAATAAACTTGAGCATTCGAAGAAGTATACTCCTGGGATTTGGGGCTCCCTAGGTGCCAAGATGAGAATTTGACAATATATAAAGGTAGCTTACAGTACTTTTTTTGAGCACTCTTCAAAAACTATGGGTTCATTCTAAAGGATAAATTAATCTAAAACTCAAAATGTCATCTTTAAAGTGCTTTGGCTGATTGATTCAATTCAAAACTTCTTATAATCATGAGGGACTTCAGCCTTGGGAATACGATTATAGATTCCCCTGCCTCTGCATTCTTTAAGTGGTAATATCAATAGAAAATTCAGCAGAGACCCTGATACCCACACCCATCTTGTAATGGCAATGGCACGACGTAGATGCACATACAGTATCTCACAACCATAGTTCATGACATATATAGGAAGCTAGAAGCCAATGACAGCTGTCATACCCATCAGAAATTGCTAAATGTAAAGAGATGGCAAAGATTTATTAAATTGAATGTAAGGTAGTTAAAAAAAAAAAAATCTTACTGGGTCACAGCGGATGGCTTGTGCAAGGTAGTTTGTGGTTGCCAAGCTGGAATAACTTATCCCCAGATTTTCTGGCCCCAGTCCATTCACTGCAGCTGCTAAACTAGCTGCAGCGACCAGAGAAGGAGGTAGTGCAATAAAAGTACAGTCTACAAAGCAAAGACAGCAGAATGTTAGTAATAATCACCAAATAATCATTAATAAAGAATAGGGCAGCTGGTAATGACTACATTCTATTATAAAAAAAATTATTTTTAACTTATATTTATCTTTGGATAAATGAACATTAGATTTTTTACAACAATTACAAGTATTTTACTTTCTAATATGAAAAGTAAAAAACATCCAGACCCATGATTCTAAATCTAGATATATACAGGATAATTAGATCATTACCTATACAGTATATGTTGGGGGCTATAATAGCAAAATCTCTGCAAATGAGTTTCAAGCTGCTTAGGCTGCTCTTTCAATGTCTGTACTATAGCATGGGATGGTTGGGCAATGTATGCATTAATCACCAAGTAAATAGTAAGGGGTCTATTTATATGTTTTTCCATATACTGGTCAACTTCTGTTCACACTATGCTCGCTGACTCCATCCAGTAGCAAGAATGTTATGCAAACGGAATTCGCCCAGCCATAAAGACATAAATAGACCCTTATGTGTCTGAAATTAACAATATTACTGATTTTCAAGTGTACATTCTTCTTGTTATTAGAAACACTGATCCATACACAATTTTTCTCCACCATTAAAGTTGCCTTTAAAAAGTCTTAAACATTGACTCATTAACTGATCATTTAAGTTTTTGTGGTTGTTATACAGATGAAAAATGTGCTAACTTCTTTTATTTCCCAGCAACAAGATTTCCCCGCCAGCTGTCCCAGTCCTGCCTTACTGCTATACTTCTTACAAAGCCAAATTATGTAGTCACTGTCCCCAGGTGAATTAAGTAATCATGGAACCTATGTGCAAGGGGGTGAAACCTGAATAAAGGCCATTTGGCAGGGGATAAACACAGACTACTGCATTTTAGTGACTAGCATCATCAAGTAGTATAATAGCTGTCAGACATTCAACCAGAATTTTGGATGCAGTCTTACGATTATCTGACCATGTACAGACACAGAATATTGCTCACAACTCTGATGTGAATGAATGGGTTTGAAAATGATCTGGTGTTCCCTGTTTTCTGCTGGTCACTGCTGACCTCCTTCTGAAAATGATAGTTGCCGGCTGTTATACAGATACAGAATAACATCAGTACTCATTGGATCTGCTGTTGAACAAGTATGCAGCCTGTGAAAAAGTTCTGAACTGTATACTTGTTCAGGCTTAGTGATGCATTGACAGTGCTGAAGCATCACTGTGAAAAATAAATTTTCAGAAAAGCTCAGTAATATTAACCTATGTATTTCTCTCTGTATTTCAGTAATATAAACCTATGCAGGTTTCCATCGATGAGTTTTATTTCTATATGTAAACCATCTATGGAATGCACACCGCAACTGTTGGAATGATTAGAAGCCCTTTTGCAGATAGCTTTAACTGTCAGCTGTTAATGCTGGATTTACTGGATTTATACTGTATATTACATGAGAAAAATATGGGTGCTAGCAATGCTGACCTCTCTCTAATGCTAGTTCGCTGGCTGCATTGCTGATGCTTTGGTTTCTGAGTCTCTGACAATGAACTAGTATAGAAATAACAAATGCTGACACTTTTGGTATATACAGTATTAACTCAAAGCATGAAGAAGCAATTACAAGAGAGGAAGGTGGTGTAACGTGACACAAGATAGACTGAATGATGGACTACATTTTTGGAACTCACCTGTGGTGCACAGTGCAATGAAGGTTTCCGAGTGTCTCCTGACTTGCTGTAGTCTCTCTGCTGGAAGCCTCAGCAGTGCCAGGAAATATGGAAGAAAGTCTCTTGGTGTCACTGCTTCTATGTCCCACTTCAGCTTGTTCAGGACCAGTAGTTCCATTGACTAGACAAGAGAAGAACAATTCAGAACAAATGTATAACACTCTGACTCCTCGTTACTTTGGGGCTTCCTTTAAAAAAAGGCCTGTAACAAAACAATACAGCCAGCAACAATTCGGAACTATGCCCTGTGAAAAAACACATGCAGCCTGTTATTACTGTAATGCATGTGGAGAGGGATGTGCTGTTAAGATGCTGCAGGACATCAGCAGCATTGAGATGTATCAAAGGATGAAAAAAAGGGGAAAAAACCCTTCCCTTCTCCCACCTCAATATTACCCAAGGAACACAGTATTGTGCTACTTATAGAACATTCAGAAAGGGTTTACATCTACTTTAACAGACCTGCCAGTGCCTACAAGCCCAATACTGGCCTATTGCTATACACTTTATCAGCAGCACTCTCTATGTTTTTCCTATCACAGCTAAAGCACACTGTCAGTATGGCTGCTGGGAACCTACTCTTTTACAGTGAAGTGGTTGGCTTACCCAAACCCCCTCTTTTTGGCTCTTCTGAAGCTGGCCATACACCTATAGATTATCTGCAGATTATCTATGGTCAGATGGGAAAAGTGCAACATATTCCTTCATCTACGCTAAACTGTGTGGATGGAGGAATATCCCACTGTGCCAAGCTTCAGTATCTTGCTAGTCGGCCCCGCAGGTTCTCAAAATACCTGAACAATGCCTCCATCCAATCAGAATGTTCAGGTATTTGGAGAGCCAACGGAGCCAACTAGCAAGATCGAGTTTAGCGTAGATAGAGGAATCTGTTAGACTTTTTCCATCTGACCATAGAAAATCTGCAGATAATCTATAGGTGTATGGCCAGCTGACCCAAGCTCAAAGGCCAGGCAGTGCATTATGGTCACTATGGTGAACTCCTGAATTAATTCACAGGGTCCAAATACCACGGACATGCTGGATTCACTGCAAACCCATGGTAGCAGTGAACCCAAACCTGATCCCTATTTATTGTCATGTTTTGTTTTGAATTAGTGTTTAATATAGGATTAATGTCCCCACTGCAGAACTGGAACGCCACAATTATCTTATTGCAAGGTAAAATGAAACCGTTTTGTGTACTGGCCCATTGAACGATCTCTAGCTGGTACTTACCCGCAGCTCTGTATCAGTGAAGGAGTAGTCGGAATACATGCACAGGCTCTCGATGGTTATAACTTGGGACTCCTTCAGTTTTGAACAAAGCAGAAGACAAGTCGCCCCCAGGAGTTGAAGTCGTCTTTTTTCTACAGGTACCAGAGACAAGAAACGGTCCAAGCAATTTACAGCCAGGGGGAACACCTCTTCTCCACACCTTTGATCTTCACACACCTGGTACAAAGCAGCAAATTAACACAAATATATGTGACCAAACTAATCCTGTAAAATTTTGTGAGAAAAGTAATATGGCGAATATCATTACTACCTTTTTTCCAGGATTTTCATCTTGATGTTCATTGCCTATTAAGTCACTAACGTGGAACAAACATGCAGTAGGTCTGAAAAGTATGAGCATCCATCCTGCATGTTTATTCCTAGGTCAGCAAGTACTGGAACCAGGATCAAGATGACCGCCTCAGAGCCTGCACCTTTAAACATGTCAGCAATGGCATATTGTCTTAAAGTAGATTTATGGGGAGACTGCCATTGTTTCTGAAATTTATCTGCTGTTATGCTGATCCACTGGTTTTAGTACTTTCTGGAACAAGTAGTCAGTTCAGGAATTTACATAGATACATAGGAATATCAGGGAAAGGTCAAAATCCACTAATTTGTATACTCATTCCCATCATTGACTCATAGAATTGAAGCAAAAGGGTCTGGATGACAGCCAGGCAATCAGCATTTTGACAAGGAGAGGTCAGTAATGACAGCCTCCTTGTTTCCTTCATAACAAGTTTTCTTTCAAAGCTTTAAATGTTATAGGAAAAATGCATATTTTTTCAGACTCAATAACACATACAGCATAATAAGTGGTACAGCATAATACGTTAGACTATTTGATAGGTGCTACAGAGAGCAGTGTCCCATAGCAATTACCTAGATTTCAGTTTACTTTGTTCACACCAGTCTTATTCCTTTCTTGCAGAAATGCAAGAAAGGAATAAGCACCCATTTACACTTGTGTGATTTGTCCTGCACCTGTTGTCACACTGCAATGCCCATTCCCATTGGAAAGATGCTGGGACTTCTTTTGGCGCTGCACAGTCCATAAACTTCAATGGGAACACACGATAAATGCATGCACGCACATTTGTGCATAAACTCTCCTAAAAGTAGATGATGCCTGATGATGACACAGCATATATAGCTTGTCATTGGCATGCAAAAAATTCCCCAAAGCATGAAAAAACATCAAAAAAGAGCAGAAACGGTCTACAAAAATGCACTATTCAAACACATATTCATGCCGCAACACTACTGTGAACAAACACAAGATTAAGTGATGATGTGCAGTAGTCCATGACAACCAATCAGAAATTATGTCTTATCAAGCTAAACCACCATAAAATTTGGTTGTTGTGGATAACAATATCCTGCATCCTCAGAGCTCTCTGCAATGCTTAAAGCTTCAATCAGATCTGTCAGCTCTTGCGCATTCTCTCTCTTTTCATTACAGAGCTGGAGATCAATGTTAACTCTGCAGGGCTTATTTAAAAAAATATATATTACATTTATTTCAATTATTATTAATAATAATCAACAATAGAAATCCAGATCATAAGATGGTGAATTGCCATAGGTCAATTCATGTTTGCCTTGTAAAGCTGTGGTTATCTTACCTCTAACATCCAGCTGGTCAGCATTTTCCTCATGTAGGGGTGCATCTCTCTCTGCACACACTGGAAGTATGTTGGAGATGGAGTGTATCTCTCTTGATCTGTAAGCAGCCTTTCCAAAACCCTGCTCTGCAAAAGGACAGGATCAACCTGTGCTCTGAGCTCTTTCTCAGTTTCCCAGCACAGCAAACTGCTCTCCATAACTTTGTCTGTGTTTTGGTGTAGTTCAACAAGAGCTATTGCAGTTGAGAGATGTCCCTTTAAACTTTTTCAGCGTGACCCTTTAAACCTCAGCCTTATATACTTCCAGACTTGAGTCAGTCCTGCCCACTGCCCCTCCACAACTGCCAATCTCAGCTACTGTGTGTAAACAGGGCTCTATGGGACAAAACATGCTCCCAGTA